CCGGCGCCAGTGTTTTGACGGCCTCACTGGCCAGTAGTAACGCACGAGTACTATCGGTTCGTGGGTTCCACAAGTTTCTAAAATCAAATTGTAATCTTTAAACATGTAAGAAATTGCCTGTAGTTTACGCGAACGCATGTAATACACATTTAAAGAAAACACTTTTAACGGTCGAAAACGCGCCATTTATTTGTAAATTAATTTTTAATTTATTCATGCTCTGGTACATACGTACGAAACGTATTTAAAATTAAAATAGGTTAACTTATATATTTCGCGTTTCAAACCGTGAATACTGTTTTATTTAAATGCAAGACTTCGTCTAGAAAATCTATACAATAATGAATGGTAGGAAATTCGAAATTACATTCGTGTCATGAAAAAGCCGTGAAGTTTAATCGTGTTTCGGTATCCTAGTTTAGGGCTAGTACACCCTAAGACGAAACGTAAGCAATATTTTTTGCAAAATAAAGTACTTGTGTGCATAATGTGCATTTCTAAACTCGCAAAGTCAAAATTGGTCTGGTGCATATTGCTAAGGCGTTATATATCACTAGGGTACTTCATCTTTCATCGAGAGAAACTAGTGCCTGTCTGTCCACATCTATCTAGGATAAATGTGTATTTTTATGGACGTTAAATAGGTGTGGTTGTGTAAATTCACCTTTCAACTTGTCTGTACTCTGGCATGAAAAATAACAAACGTATAACTTCGTCGGCGGCATCAATGCAATATTATATAGAGTAATACGATCCGGCGCCGACTGCATTTACTTTGCACACAATTTATTTTGCATTTGAATGCATTCCACGCGTACTTTAGCAGTTCATCTTTTAAGCAACGTAAGCAAGGCAGTTACAAAAATCACACGTTGAATTAATAAAAAAATCGATTTTGGACTCTTGAAGAATATGGATAAATGAGGCACAGTAGCTCAATTAGCGAGAGCAACAGCACGGAACGCTGTTGCTCTCGGTTTTAAAGTTCGAGTCCCGCCTGTGTCAATCTAAATAGATTTTTAATATATGTAAGAGATAATTTAGTTAGTATGTTCGTCGAAACACTAAGCTGGTTTCGTAACGTTGTACAATAACTTTTTAAGCGTCAAGTTTATTCGCGTTTCGTTTAAAAACATCACGTTTAAATAAAACACTTTAACGGTTTACAATGCGATATATATAAAAGAAATGCCGGCCCATAATTTAAATAATAATAGTTTATTTAACATATATTTATAGCGTTTTAAACCGTTAAAGTGTTTTATTTAAATGTGTACTATTCGCGTAAACTATCAGGCAGTAATTAATACATCACGCTGCGACAAATAGGAGCGAGGAAATAGAGGGAAAAGTGGAAAAAACGGGGAAAACTATTCATCTTTGTACGTTTTCATTGCATGCGCTGCGAAAACGGTTCTTAATACCCAAAAATCTGGCATCTGGCAAACGATCTAAAAGATTTCCGCGACAGTATATATGTCAATCTTTTAAGATTCGCTTAAAACGACTGGACGCGGAAAACGCCATGGGGAACAGATAAAAATTATAAAGATGAGGTTTTCAAAATGAAATTTTCATAAGCGCAACGTAACTATTCCACGCGGACGAAGCCGCTGGCACATCTAGTAATTTATAAGCATTACAATTAAATGTACGTCGTTCATTTAAATTAACTACTGCGTCCGAAATAATAATATATTCACTAAACAACGTAGCGAGTGTTTAACTTGGAAATGTTGGTGCATGTACATTCAAATAATGCCATTAATTAGAACAATGTTACAGCAAGATTTACAATGGGCGATGAACAAACAAACGCTACAATCGCGTGCGCACTAATTCAGTGGTTTTTATTGAAATAACTGGCTTTCAGTTGGCCTGAGTCGGGCTAATAGGTTAAATTCAATTAGTTTACGCCTTTACAATTACATATTAGTATTCATTTAAACACGTTTAGAACAAACAAAAATATTAGTTAAACCTGCAATGTAGCAATGTATTTTAACTACGGACCGACGACTAACGTAAACTACAAACAGTAGTTCAAAAAAAAATTAACGGTTTGAAACGCGAAATGTATTTTACTTGTATTGAACTTATTTATTAATTATTTTAAGGCCTGACGTTTCGGATGCTTTGCAGCAGCCGTGGCTCGTCAGACAGTACTTAGACAGTAGTATTATTTGTAATAATTAACGAAAGGTTTTTCTTACAGAAATCTGTTTCGCACCGTGTTGCATAAGTAGAACTTTGAATAACCAAAGCCTAAAAAGGTCCACAGATCCATAATTATAAATTGATTTAAAACATGATAACCCAGTGGGGATCAAATCCACGACCCGTTGATTATTAGTCACACATGCTACCGCCATAACGTTAGCGTAAGTATAAGCCAGGTGTTATCCTGTCCATTGATATGCCTTGCGTATTCTTGGGTGCACTACAGACAAGCAAAGTACCCACCATGGCCTTATAAGGCTGTCTGACGAACGATACGCGCAAACAACTCGAAACGAAAGTTGGCAATTTCGTTCTTTGTCTCGCATTTTGAATGTTAAGCGTGCGACCGAAACGGAATTTCTTTAAATAAAACACTTTAACGGTTTAAAACACGATGTGGGTTGCTGCAAAGCATCCGAAACGTCGGGCCGGAATCAAAATAATTTTCAAATAAGTTTAACTAAAATATATCGCGTTTTAAACCGTTAGTGTTTTATTTAAATGTGTACTCGCGTAAACTACAGACGGTGGGAATTAGTTTTAACAGTTTATAACGTAATTAGCAAATAGTTACAATTTAATAGCTTACGCCTTAATTGCTTAGTAGCTTACCTTCGTAGCTTACACTTATTGGCTTAGAAGATAAAGAGTTGCATTAGCACTGTATAAATACATCATGGCGTATAGTTATATATGTAAGATCATTGTGTCTAGCTTGGCCAAAGTCTTGGTGAAAGGTGGAATGCCCTTTTATATCCAATTAAGAAGTGTCGTCCATCTATTTTGGCTTAATCTTTAAATTTCTCATATAAACATAAATATACATTAACAGTTTAAGTTCCGCCCATCTGATTCGTGGCCCAGACGGATATGTCTACCACACACTTCATGTCATATTAAAAAAAAATGTATATACATATATATGTATATTTCTATAGCAACAAGTGCCTAACAATTAGCATGATAATTAATTTCATAAATATATAGGTCTACAAACAATGTGCATGTCAGAAACACAAATAAGTATTTTTACATTGAAAACTTATACATACTCATATCTGACATTTTAAACAAGGACTGTGGAGGCGTAAGCTTCATCAATAATGGGCCACACCTTATTAGAAGAAACCAATCTAGATTTAAAATTTGCAACAGAACTATATATAAAGAAGGTTATCTTCCAAATAAGGAATTATAACAAAAATAATTCTTGGAGGACAAGAATTTTATAAGAAAATTGTAGCTTGCAATCTAAAATATTGTGGTAAAAATTGGATGCTATAAACATCTAGGACTTGGATTTCGATGACTAGTACTATAACTAACACTGTCTGTCCCGTTTGATTTAAGACTCCATTCCTAGATAGATATTTTTTTCATTTTAGCAATTCATTCATTTAAATATTTCAATCTCTAACCAGTTTGTTATACAATTTTATTTGAATTTATACTATCCAGCTTCAGTTACCGAAGCTTACTGCTAGTAGGTTGCTCACTTACTAGCAGTAAGCTTTAATTATGCATAATTGTATGTTTATATAAATGTTAAGTTTTCAAATTATATTTGAATATTATTAAATATTATTATATGCAATATAGTATACCAGAAACATTAATGCTTTAAGAGTATTAGAATCCCTCAATTTAGATTAGAAAAGTTAATGATCCATTTTCAAGTACCTTTCACCTTGTTAAATAACTCCTGCTTAAAAAAATATATATATTTAAATAACATAATTAAGTACTTACAATATAATTTTTCGTTTACTGTAAGTTACATGAACACTCTTATAACTAACCATATGTACATATGAGCTAAAGAATCTGTATTAATAATTGATAAATTGATTATAATTAATAATTATAGCAAAGAAATTCTCTTTAGCTAATTATTGTTCCAATTTTTCTGCTAAATCATTTAGATATATGGGTCAATATACGCTATTTGGATTTCAATCGTCCATGTGAAAAAACACATGTTAAATTTATTATATTTTTGTTTCTCAGGGCTTAAATAATAAATAATATTGCCTTTCTTCTGTCTAATAATTTAGTTAATTATGGAATTAATAGTTTAAAAACATTACAAATGTATAGTTCTCTGGCCTTCCCATTAACAGATTATAATGGTGTTTTTTTTTTTTTTTTATTGTTCTAAATCTTGATGGATTCTTCTGGCCTCTATCATTACTACTTAATTTTAAAATAGTGTCAAATACATAAATTATAAATATTAAATGAAACAGACCAAATTTCCTTCTGGGACATAAAAAACTCAAATAGTGTATATTCACCCATATGTCTAAGATCATATAAGATATCTGTATATAAGAAGATACTGCATCTAGAAAAGATACAATAAACGGTTTCCATTAAATTCTAGACCTGTATTTATAGTAATAGTTTTGTTCTTAGTTGAAGTTATATCAAACAGTAATTTTCTTCTTTATTTGTTTAAGAGTATGCTAGGCTAGCAAGGCAAATAAGTGTAATTCAATTCTTATTTTCAACCTTCTCCTCCAAATATATTACACATAAATTATCTGTTTTAGCATAGACGTAAAACCTACAATTTATTTCCATTAAAGACATAAAACTGTTAATTTTTCCCTGTACATTAGAATTAAATCTCCTTCCTACATGCCAACAAGATTTTATAGAGAAATTTAAAATATTAACAGAACCTTCACTGACATTGAAAATTTAAAAAACCAAAAAACACTATAATGTTATTGTAGATATTAAAATCAAGTGTTTGAAAGTTTATTTTAATTACATACCTGATCAGGACAGAAGTATCCAAAGGCAACCATGCCGAACAGTGAAAGTAACAAACAAAATAAAATCACTTTTCGTAATTTCGACCTAGGCTCCATTTTTTTTATTTCGTACACACCGCCAGGTAGAAAAAGGGCGAAATCACTATCTACTTGCACTGATACACTTTTTTGCATTTCGGCCGAATGCATATTTCATTTTAATTGTATGTCTGCCTGTTCCACTCGCACCTAAATAGTTCACGTTGCACAAAATACTTGCAATAAGTGTCCTCGGTCATACAAAAACCTAATATATTATCGTTCTCCATATAATCTACGATACGAATTCGATAACATTGTTATGATAATAACTAAAACACGTTGTAACACTTCAGAGACCACAACTGAAATGAGACTTTTATTGTTAGACTGCTTATAGGACTAGGGCACCACAACTAGCAACTCGTCAAATAAGAAGCACTAGATGATTCTTTCACGCTTTTTATGCACGCTTTAGTTCTTTTCACATTTCTTGTCATCGTTTTTTACAATGCGGGTACTCCTTAACGAAATCCCAGTCAATTTATTTGTTGTTTAAAAATAAAGTAAACAATTAGATATCACAGTTGACTGCTGTGTGCAAACGTCAGAAGTCATTTTTCAATTTACTTGACATTGACACGTTGAAACGCATATTGCCACTATTAAAAAATGGGATAAATACTTGTTTATGGTCACCTAATACGAGAGACGCCTCTTTGTAAATATAAGGTCAAAATAAAGATATTAATCCTTTTGTAATAAATCAAGTTTCGCTTCAGGTATCGTTAACGTATTGTTAAAAATAACTCTTTTCCAATTCCTTTTGTAGCAATTTGAAAGAAAAGGTTTATAAGTTAACATTTAGTTGCGGCTCAAAATTTTTACGGTACCTTAAGTTATGCAGTTAACTTACTATAAACATTTACCTACTTTGAGTTGGACAGGATGAAAAAAAAAACCTTTTGTGTCTATGACAGGCTTTAATTCAGTATCAATGATTGAATTTTATTTTGCGATGTCTCAGAGTATTTATGAACATAATGAACACTGTATGGAGACTTTATGCGCACAGCAATATTACATTTTGTGAGCGTTATAAATTCATCACTATTACTATATCAAACATCTTGAAAATAAATGTTACACTTAATGTCTGGTTACATGTAATTACAGTTGAAAAATATCATTAACTCTATAAGAAATAAAATATATTACGACACTCGTATAACACAAATTAAGTTGATTTAAAATTTTTATTTATATAAATGAAAAGGCACTTTAAAAATAAGGTGGGACAGTTAAAAATACATATATAAAGAGGATGAGATGAAAAAATAATCTGACACTTCTCTCGTTACACAGTTTTTTCACTTAGAAGTAAAAATATTACATGCAATCTTTTATAAAATACATAATTATTATGTACATGTTCGAATCAACGGCCTTCTACACATGTTTGAAAACAGTTGTTCAAATCTTACTTCATCATAAATTAACGCGGATAACACTCTCGGTGTTACAAAACTGATTTTTACTGTAAGAGAGAATTTCGTTGATTTAAAAATCCATATATAAAACGTCCACCATGTCTGATTTCAATAATCACATGTTAATATAAAAATTATACAAGTAGCCACTGCTATTAACATAATTCCCATTTTCGTCACTAGTTGGATTAACACTACCACTTGTGTACTTTTGATAGTAGTAATTTATTCGCTTAAAGGGATCAAGTCCTCTCACCACAGATTTTCCTAGTTTTAAAATTACGTTAAGTTGCATCAGTCCACGAATTTGAGAGTCCACAATACCACACATCATGCAGGGTGAAACCGACACATGACTATCGTTTAATGTTCTGCTCACTAGTCATTTCTTTTAATGTTCTCGTTGTTTGTAACACATTTGAAATTTGATGAATGTTATTTAAATCATGAATCACTGTTCAAAATATAACTATTAAAATTGTTCATCGTTAAGTTGACGACTGTCAACTGGGTTCTTCTTGTATTGTATGACCATACATACATTCGCTGCAATGATGTACCAATAATAACTTGAGCTCTAGTTTTCTATGGAGAGAAGCAAGTCCACATCAACTCGCAATCAACTAGTTGCGAGGTCGGCCACGTCGGGAACCATCTCGATCCTGAAATAATCAACAAGCATTGAATGTGTTATAAGCTCAAAACTATTAAGATTATGTTTTATAATTATCTTATATACGCTTCTAAATAAAAAACTGTTTAGCTTATGGTTAAAAATTGTTTCTAATATTTATCGCATCTTAAACTATACTATTTTGTGTTCAATTATGTAGGTACTATTAATGTAAACTACAATGAATAATTTAGACTTTTTTAAGGATAACATATTGATTTATTTAAATTTTTTTTTCACTAACAATTGTAATGTTATAAAAGCGTATTTAATACCTATTTATTACTTAACAATGCTAAATATGGTCATGCACGAAAGCGAGATCTGCCAATGGAATAGAAAGAAGCATATTAAGCAGGTGTTAAAAGAAAAAAAACAGGCAAATTTAGAAGTAATGAAATATCCTGAGGGATGGATATTTTAAAAAATAGGAAGATGACCAAGAGAAGAAACAGGCCAAAAATGGCCAAGAGCATCAACAGACACAAATGTTGACACCATGTTGACACACACGAAGATGTTACGAGCGGCCTAATAAGGGCTTCTTTTATATTATTCACTTCCTTTAATAATATCCTAACACATTTTTAACATAATTCTTATTATCTTTTTGTCTAAGTGAAGGTGGAATATTGTTGTTAAGTGGACCAATGCATATTTCAGCTTAAGTATAAAATAAGGGCATTATTAAGAAGACGAAGTTAGGAACCAACCTTATGATGGGGGCGGTATGAGTCTCGTTCACGATACCCATGGTCTCTATTATCACGGCCATCTCTATCATCTCTATGGTCGCGGACGTCTCTCATATCGCGGTTGTCCCTTGGCTCGCGACCGTCGCGGTCACGGAGATCGCGGTGGTCACGACCGTCACGATTGTCTCGACCGTCCCGCCCCTCTCTATGGTCGCGACCGTCACGAACGTCCCGGTCGCGCCCATCGCGGTAATCGCGATAGTTGCGATACCCACGCCCGTTATCTTGATCTTCGCGGTTCTCTTGCGGCGCGGGGTGAGGCACCTTCCTGGAATCCTCCTCCTCCTGACGGCGCTCATAATGGATGAAATCATCGAAAATAGACGTAGAATGACAATAGCTGTGCATTATACGCAGAACTTGCAGTCCCTTAGCGTGCGGCACCTCTTGGGTGTCACGAGAATTGGTCACGGGCTTATTCTCGTTATTCTCCAACTTGATGTGACGCAGTTGTCCGTTGGGAACGTCCTTGACATATATCCACCTAACACGAAATTGTCCTTTCCACTTGTCTTGAGACCACACACTAGAATTAGAATTGTAGTCGACTGCGCTCGACATTCGAGCCATTCCACAAAAATGTCCACTACCATTAACAGAGAAAAGGAGATAAACACAGCCGCCTTCCCTTTCCCGGTCGCGGAAGGCGGAATCGAGCCGCTTGTTACCGTGTTCTGTGCTGCACCAGATCTCGTACTTGATGCTACGATGAATATCGTCTTCAGAGTAAGACTTGATTACGAAGAAACGAGCGAGGGGAGCAGTGAGATCAAAATCTTTAGGATTGTAGTCATTTTTGACCCGTAGTTCATCGAGCACAGGGTGCGGATTGGGTGGTACAGCTGGTTGCACGGGTAAAGTTTGTGGGGGAGGCGTAGATAGAGAAGGGCGGGGTTGATTGTGAGGCGGTGGAGCAGCGCGTGGAGCGTGCGTCCAAGCCGGCGGTGGCTGATGTTGCGGTGGTGGACCCCTCTGCATCGGAGCGGGAGCCGGTAATTGTTGCGGCTGGGGCATTGGCAGTGGAGCAGGCACGGGAGGAGGCTGCAAAGGAGGAGGGGGAGGGGCTGTTACAACGGGGGCACTTTTTCCAGCGTCCCAAGTACTAATGTCCATGTTATGTTTGCCGGGCACTATTGGTGGTGGTGGCATTCCAGGTCCTTTCTTCTTCAGGCCACCACTCTGCAAAGATGGTGTAGGCTTAGCCGGCTGGCTAGCTATAGATGCCCACGTCATCTTTTTGGGTTGCGATCCACTTGATACGTCCTTGAGTTCAGAACGATCTTTGTCGTGTTTATGTTCTCCAAGTGAAAGTGTCTGTACACCTGATTCAACTGCTTTGATTCCATCAGGCACATACAAGCCATCAGCTCTATAGTAATCGTCATATTGTTTTGCTCGTCCTAGTTGGCCCCAGGTCGAGTAATCACCATTTCCTGGGAAATAGTTGAATGTTGATGCCGGCTGTCCAAATGCGGCGGTGGAGAAGGGCGTTGTTGAGGGCCCAAAAACACCTGTAATATTTTAATTTAGATTGAAATGTGTATGGTATTAACTAGTCAAAGTATGTGAAGAACAGGTGGATGGAACATTTATCATAAATGGTAGCTTATAAAATACAGGAATTTATTCAAATTTGGCATAGAATTTACAAGCAATGGTTACTGTGCCAACTGGAATAAATACTAGCTACCGTCCATTCCATATGAATCGTGAGGATTGTATCCTCCTAGAAAAGTCATTGGGTCTGTGCCATTCGTAGACCATGTTCCATCCCCAACTCCGAAGGCTTGATAAGGAAGTGCTGTTGTACCGTAATAACCTGAAACAATTGTATTTGATTAGTTAATGGTAATGAAATGTTTAATTACTTTACTGTAATTACAAATAAATCTTATAAATTGTCATGATATGTGCATTTAAAATAACAATCAGTATCAGGGTATTAAAGTTTAAAATTAATTTATTAATTACCTTGTTTAAGCTTTCATACCTATACAATAAAAAGACATACCACGCTATCTGTCTGTAACCAGAATGTATTAAGTGATATGTGGAATGGGTGAAATGTTTATCAGGTATTGTTGATTCATAGGCTGTTAGAGAGGACACAAGCACATGATAATCAGCATCAATCAACAGAGAAAGATTTGGATGATATAATTTTTATTATTTGATCACTTCTCTGCTGTATATCAAGCCCCCAGCAGAACAAAATAAGGTACCCACCTGCAGCGCTGTACGGGTCTGTTGCTGAAGAGATGGGTGGAGCATATGATGGTTGCTGTTGATGACGCCATGATACTTCAGCCAACTCCTCACCTCCCCTTTCTAACTGGTGCTCTTTAGGTGCATTTGTTACTGAAAATTACAGAAGTAAATAATTTTAAAAGGCAATGTTTAAATCTCAACAGTAAATATGTGCACTTAATGTAATTGTTTCATCAAAAAATCTTGATAGATATTATTCAAACATCACAGTTAGATCCACTAAAGAATCAATCTGGCAAATCAAACAGTGGTCATTTAAAAACATGCTTTCATACAGATTTAAGAAATTAGAGACAAAATTCTAATGAAGAATCTTCCTACAAATGACACCAAATATAGGTGTCTGTCATTAATAGATACAGTAGTAATTTTGATTAAAAGTAGTTATTAGCCTCTGGAAAAGCTTGGTTTTATATAAATTTAAATTAGCTTTAATAAGCTTGGTAAATAATATAAATTTAAAAACATGAAAAGTGGTTCTAAACAAAAATTCAACAAAACTGTAGAATGCATTCACCTTATTAGGAAGCTAGATATGCTTAAACAAATGTAAATGTGTACTTCTTTATTACTACTTTGAAAATCAATTAAATTGTATAGCAAAGTTTATAACATTATAGCAGCTTGTCACTGGATGCTAATTATGTTTGTTCAGATTAAAAATATGTTATTTAATACTTTATTACTATTTTAAATTTCACACAGTGATTGTTGATTTTATATAACGTTACATGTTAAACATTAGTAACAAAGGTGAAAACCAAGTGACGTGAATAGCACATTAAAAAATACCGGATGCAAGCCGCCCGGTGCTAGACTATCCGAAGAAAACACCTGCAACGTCACAATAGCATTACCTTGATTCCCTTGCCCTTTCATCCGCTGCGAACGAGGAGAACATGAAACAAGTAATAATCACATTATTACTCTCGATTTAACATTGGGAATACTCAAACACAAAATTATGAATTAAAATAAGAAATACCTGATCTGACACGCCTGCTGACATTGGCCGCGATTTTTAACTTTAACGAGCACTTATTCAAGTCTTTATCACAATAAAATGCTATAATTATCACATCGGTTCACTTCCGAATTGTTTAATTGTCCCAGAACCACTTAAAGAAACGTAAAAAGTCAATTTCCGAGAAATGTTTGCAAAAAGTCCGTATAGTGGTAGGAACTAATATGGACGTCTCGGTGATGGCGATTGGCCGATAATGAAAGATCAAGCTCAATGTTGCTATTATCAAAAATTTAGAGTTTAGCGCGCTATTTTAAATGTGTGAGAAAATGTGTAAAAATTAAAATACAAATACATAATTATTATATTTCTAAAGAAGGATAAATAAGAAGTCGTATTCGTATAAAATTCAAACCGCTTTTAAGGTATTAGAAAGCTTTCTTTTAAATACCACGAATATTCTTCGCTTTAGTTAAGTTTAGTTTCTACAAGAGTTATATATCCCTTTAATTAAATTGGATTTGCGAATAAATTAAAGATTTTGTCACGATAAAATAAACATTTATTACAATTTCCACAATTATTACTTTTTAACAAAAAATGATGAGATAGTTTTTGTTCCACTTGCTGCTTTTTGTCTCGCCTTTTCTTTTGCTGTCAAAGGCTTCTGTTTCTTCACTTCAGTTGAACTACAATCCATACTCTGAATATCCTCAGCTAATGTCTCACATTTGATTCTTTTCACATCATTTGAGTTGTTACAATTTGATTTTCTTTTTGTCCCAACTGTTTCAATCAGTTCTGGCTTAAAGTCAAATTTGCTTTCTAATAATTCCACCAGGTCATCTTGCAAATAATCAGATAAAATTCCAAATGCGTATTTAAGGTAGAATTCTACAAAGAATTTTGAAATTATAGTACTATAACTAATAAAATATATGAAATTGAAATAAAGACTGAGATTACCTTCATCTATATCGTCATTATTCAATGTGCTTGATATAAAAGTAGCTGAACTCACTCCAGACGTAACATGTACATTCTTTTTCCTTATCAATTTGGATAATTTTCTTACTTTCTCCTCCAACCACTTAAGTGTTTTTTCTTCATTATATTTATAAGCACATAACTCCAGAGAGCCCTATAGACATACTTGTAAATAGAAGATAGTAATAATTGTGTAAGTAAATAATACAATAAAACGGACAAAACTTAATTTTTTTTTTAATATCTATAATTATTGTATTTTTTACCTTTAAATCTGCAATATTGTCTAGACCACAAATAAATCCAGTAATTTCATTATAACCCTTTTCTGAGAGGAGATCATTTATGGGCATAGCCCTGTCTTTACATTGTTCACGCAGTCTTGGAAGTACTGAAATTAATAAATAACTATTATCTAGGCTAAATATTAAAAATCACAATAAAAAAATACTTTCAATGGTTTACATCTTGTAATATGTAGGTTAACTTATGTAAAGTGTTGGCCAAGTTTCATGTTTGAAACTGTTAAAAGTGTTTTATTTTAAGTGTCTCACTTATCAAACTACAGACAATACTTTAACCTTATTATGCCGGTTACAAACCTATGAAGACAGGATTTATAGGAGTCACTAACATAAAACTTCCATCAGATTTGACTGTTTCCCCAATAAACCAGGAACGATATGGCTCATTAAATGTCACAATTTCAAATATATTTTTATTTTTGCCATCTAAAACATACTTGGAAGGGGTACCATGTGCTGGATGTGGCAATGTTATGATCCTGAAGCTGTTATTTTCAAATAAGGAATCTGAAATCGAAACAGCCATTACAACATTGGTTTATTAGGAAAAATATTAATATAGTTGTAACTTCAGTAAATCTACTATACCTTTAATCATGATAATCCAAGAGTTTTCTACTGGATTTTTCAAGTTTGAAGTTGTTTGGTTTCCAGAAGATAACTTTTTTGTCAATCTCGTCGTCATTGTTGTCGTAGAAAATGGTTCTTTATAAGCCAGACACAATATTACTTCAATGTGTAATAAAAAGTTATAATATTGTGCCGGTAACACGTTAGACTATGTAAGACTTAGTTTTCTGTATCTTGCTTTTGTAATATTACACCATTTTTAGTCATTATTTATAGATAATTAGACATAATAACAGTTATTAAATCTCGGTACCAACATAGTGTGGAAATATGAACAAAAGTGTAATGTAAAATATACTAAAAAATAAAAAAGAAGCGCGTAAAAATCACTTAACTCAGTATAAAGTAAACTTCATATTCATAACTTGCCATTGTCAAACGTTACTAGTACTCACAGATGTTGTACAGTATTGAGTATACATATCTGGTTTTAAGTTTTTTTTGTTAGCTTTATCCAAATATATATGGACAAGATATTTTAAATCATATATATTTTTAAATATCGTGAGTTTTCTTATTGCCAAAAAATAAAAAATAACAATAATAATTTATCTTTTCACAATTTGTCATTGCTCCGAGACACATGACATTGGAAGAATCCATTTAGAAGAAGAAGTATTCATATCTGACATAACACAGATGTAAAAGCAAACTGTCTGGTATATATTTGACTGTGGTAAATATTTAGCCGGTAAAAGTGTGGTTGAAAATTTAGTTACGAACTTTGCAATTTTTGAAGTAAAATGCAGGCGTTTCTGAAAACTGGTAAAATTTCTGCCACTGAAAAAGCTGGCCCATCTGGTTTGAAAACAACAAAGAAAAAGCCTCCAGCGCCATGGGTAGAAAAATAGTAAGTTACTCACTGGTTCTTGGATCACATACAAAACACTTTGGAACTACCATAAAACTGTTTTTGTTTATTTTTCAGTAGGCCTAAAACCATTAATGATATTGTTGATCAAGGGGAAGTAGTGCAAGTCCTTAGGGAATGTTTATCAGGTAGTGATTTGCCTCATCTTCTATTTTATGGACCACCGGGAACTGGTAAAACTAGCGCTATATTGGCAGCAGCTCGTCAGCTTTTCGGAGATATCAGCCGTGATCGAGTACTTGAATTAAATGCTTCAGATGAGCGTGGTATTCAAGTTATAAGAGACAAGGTCAAAGCATTTGCTCAGCTGACTGTTAGCAGTACTAAACCAGAGTAAGTAGGAAGAATGTATGTACAGTGTAGGAAAGTCATTATATTGTATGTATCTTGTGTTGATAAGGTTTTTATGTCTTGTATAATAAGAATTGAAGATTAAAGAAACAACAAGAACAAACAATGACTTGACCAAAAATAAAGTAACACTTTTAATTTTTTTACTTATAATTAGTTAATTAGTAGAGACCTTGTATTAACTAAAATTTAGCTTCCTGTCATACTATAGTAAACAGAGCAGTATATTTTTCATATAAAACAGGTGTTTTATATTACAATTTTTGATCAAAAAAGGTTTGTGTTTTGATCATACTACTGAAAACACCACTAAATGCATGCAGTAACAAATAAATCTTTTTACCAGTGGGAAATCATGTCCATCCTATAAACTTGTAATTTTGGACGAAGCTGACTCTATGACAAATGCAGCACAGGCAGCATTGAGGCGGACTATGGAGCGAGAAACAAGGACAACACGTTTCTGTCTCATTTGTAACTATGTGTCTAGAATAATACCACCTATAACCAGTAGATGTTCAAAGTTCAGATTTAAACCTTTGGCGAAGGAAAATGTAATAAAAAGGTATCAATTTGTTTCTTTTGTGTATTCTGGCTTTTTGCAATGTGCACAAACATTAAATTAAGTGCAATCCTATGGGGTATGAGAGGGATTGTTTCTTCATTTTGCTTAGTGATTTCATTTACAGACCCGGACTCAAACTTCAATGCTCTGCCTAAAAACAATTTATTCTGTCCTATAGCAGTATCTGCTTTTATTTACAAAATATTCATTTTTAATATTGATGTAAAAAATATTTCAAAACCCAATAATTATTAAAATTAAAAATCGGTTTAGCTGTTTTGTAGTAGTTATAAATTGTATCGATTGATTTGATAACTATCAATCAATACAATTTATAATATTATTAATAACCCTCATCACAAAAAATATCTCAATTAAATAGATATCTTTGTGTGCATTTAACTTGTCTTTTAAGTTTTGGTTTCCTATATCTTGGCTTCCTCTATTCTTGTATTCTGTACAATTTGTTGATGGAAAGATATTCATGGAATCAGTAAACACCTCAACTCCCTCCCCCCATCCCTCTTATGGGCGATTTTTTATGGCTTATACCAAATTTTTAAATCCTAACGCCGACACTATGCATCACAAGGTTTTGAAGAGCTGAGGCATTTAATCTTCCATCAATCACACCACATTTAACTTATCCTGTGGCTTAATTTATCCTAGTTCTAAATTTCACTCGTTTTAAGATTGCGCGAAGTATGCGACTGTGAAGGCGTCGATGTTGGAAACGGAGAAATTCTTCATCAGGCCGTAGACACGTGCGACGGTGATCTTCGAAGAGCCCTAACTGCACTCCAGTGCTGCCAAAGACTCCTGGGGAAAATTACGGCAGAAGGACTGATTGAGGTAATTTTATAAGTCTTTACTATAATACAACAAAAGGATGTGGAGGCGATTACGACCACCGCTACTTGCGCTACCGTACTCGCGTACCAACTTGCTGATGAACACCCCTCTTATTGGTATTATGTGGGTTATCAACAGGCTGCAGGAGGGGATGGACATGTTCACGTGCAGCTTGGGTGAATTGACAAAAACATCACTTCATGAGGTGTTTTATTGTATACGTGCTGTGTCAGCGACGTCGTTCGAGCGAGGAGAATAGTTATTTTGGGCATCCAAATTAGTTTTTGCAAATCCACATCTTTAAAATTTTAGCTGTACCCCTTCGTTGTCCGCGCCCCATCGATCTTGCAGATTAATCTTAAAGATAGACATATTCTGTCGCTTATATCTTTAGATTACTTAAAGGGTTTATTAACATCTTTTGGGACGTCTGGTCGCGCACGGAACCGACAAGAATGAACAATTTTCTTCTTCCTTCCCGTCGTTCAATGTTTTTAATCTTGAAATTCTTTTTCCCCTTTTTAGATAGACATATAGCGTTCAGCAAACGACTCTTATTTATATATTTAAAGTCCAAAGAACTCATTCTGTCATACACTTTTTTGCAAACCCCTTCATCTTAAACTTGGTAACACCTTGAAGCCGGGCGCGCCCCTTCCGCCGTCGATTTAATTTAAAAAAAAAAACATTTGGTATATATATTGGGTATATTGAACCGTTTTTGCAGCGTACGCCTTGGAAACCCATAATGATGAATAATTTTCCCAATTTTCTTCACATATCTCGCTGTATCTTCGCTTGTATTAGTCACAGGGCGATGTTTTATATTATTTATGTGCCTATCACAAGCGTAGCCTTCCTCGATAAATGCTTTAAGAAACACAAAGATTTTTTCAATTAAAACCAGTAGTTCTTGATATTAGCACGTTGAAACAAACTAACAAGCTCTTCAGCTTTATTTGATAGTGTTATTAGAATATAAAATTTTAATTTAATCACATTAGGGAATCCTGTAAAGGTATTTGGTTATATATATAAAAATAAAGCATTATATAGGCTTTGGTAGTCTTGCTAGCAAGTATGGCTGTTAATAAAGGGTCTGTCTGTCTCCCAATGGTCCAGCATGATTTTAATCAATGTATACTTTTTGTGAAATATAATTGACTCTGTCTGCAATCTCGATATTAAAAAAGTATAGTAAATAAACCATTTTCAAGATTTAAAACGCGAAATATATTACTCTTTTTTTAACTACGGCACGACGTTTTGTGTCATTATCATTTCATCATTTGTATAAGTATACTAATTGATAAAATTAAATAACTAACTAACATTCTTAATTAACTAAGGTTTTACCTAAATCGACCCAACCCAAGCAATGCTGAGCCAAATGAAAAGACCATTTCAATTCAAATTAATTATCTTCTCACGATTTTTACGAAAACAATAAAATAAATATAAACCTCCACTTACAAGGAAGAAATCGCTTTTTAGCGATGAGACCGCCGTTCGCTACGTATGTTTGTAACATCTTTCGAATCAAATACTGTCTATAGTTGTACGCGTGTAGTCATAGTAGTACGCGAGTATTGCACATTTAAATAAAACATCTTAACGGTTTAAAACGCGATATGTTAGTTAAACTTATTTGAAAATTATTTTTAGTCTCCCAGTGACCACGGCGGCTGCAAAGCATCCGAAACGTCGGGCCGAAGTTAAAAATCATTTCCAAACAAGTTTAACTAATATATCGCGTTTTAAACCGTTAAAATGTTTTATTTAAATCTTTCGAATCACGTTTCTGTAACATTTTCGTGGGGACATTAGAGTTCTCTTAGTTTTGTTTTAAGTTTTAGTGTCTGTAATATCTAACAAATAGACATTTATTAAATTTGCATAAATAATCGTACAGAACCCTGCGTGAGATGTCCGACTTAATCCCTCTTTTAATCTCTTTTTTGTATGCCCAATTCTATTCCCAGTAATTGCTTATCTACTTTATCTATTGTTTCAGGTTACTGGAATCGTTCCAGATAAGTTAGTCAACGAATTCCTTGCCATTAAAAATTACAGTGAACTGGAAGTCTTTGTTGAAAAGTAAGTAGCTGAACTAAGTAAAAGGCTTTTGAATATACCTTTTAAATGATCTGACTTGGTTTAGTGAATATATGAGGCTGCTAGAGGCAGAGTAGCCTAACTGCAGTTTTCATGACTTATTTATATTTTCATAGTTTAAGTAAAAATTTTAAAGTAGGTACAAGAGCACAGTGATAATTGTTAACATAATTTTTGCTCAAATAATAGTAAAATATCATTTTCGCCTAAGGTGCGCATTTCTTTATCTTCCGTATTGAAAATCATGTTTTTAGCATTAGGCCACTCTGTCTCTTGCGGCCTCATATTTCATGTGATCTTAAATAAGTAGAAATAAATCAATAATCTCGAGACAGACAAAATGAAATACGATATATTAGTTTTCATAAATCTATATTAATTCCGATACAACTGAATGATTTCTACTAAAGGAAATAAAAAAAAAGTGAAGCACACTTTAATTGAATTGATAGTAAGATATAAATTAAACACTTTAACGGTTTAAAACCCGTTTTGTATATATGTTTATTAAACTATTTTAGTTAATTTATATATGCTACTCGTGTAAACTACAAACAATATTTTGTTTGTAACATATAAGTAATTGCTGCAGATTCCTCATGGACGCATATTCAGCATCACAGCTGCTAGAGCAGCTAAGCAGCACGGTTGTGAGCAGCGGCCATTTGACTAACAAGCAGAAATGTGAAATCAGTGAGAAACTAGCGATTTGTTCCCATCGCTTGCTGGAAGGTGGCGCTGAGGTCATGCAACTCACAGATCTGGGCTGCACTATCATTATGGCCAATAGCAACCCCTGAAGTTATAGCTTGGCTTAAGCCATTTTGAAGCTTGGGTTTCCGAGTTGTTCGTCTGTCTTTATACAATGGTGGAAATTTTAGGTGTCTACCCTCAAACCAACGTAACCCTTGAATTAGTGTATACTCTGCCGATTTCTCAATTCGGTAAATTGTTTTGCTTGTCAGGTTCTTATTATTCGTTTTCCGAGAACCGCGCCATTGTTTCGGTAATATAACGATTTGTTGCGATGTTGTTGTTTTATTTTTGTAACGGTTTTAGTTGCTCAGTGTTTCACGAACCGAATTAGAACTCGGCCAATCCATGTTACACGCTTATTTATTACTATTAAGTTACGAGACGTGGCTAGTCTAAAATGTCGGGTTATAAGTAAGTTTCGTTAAGTAATATAGTTCAAAATTTAACCTGTTTTATTTAATCTGGTTTGCATAGTCCTTTTTATTACAACGTGTATTAAGCAAGTGTATGCGTATACGCAAGGTCACCAACGGTCGAAGTTGAAGCATCACGGCAACAATTTACACGCACGTTCATTAAACTTCCGCCGTCGGTTAAACGCACGAGTGAGCGTTGGAAAGAAAGAAAATAACGTTCTTTGAGAAAAGATAATATCAGGCGTTCGCCGAGGCGCCCCCCTCCCCCACCGCCGCGCCGTTTGCGCGCGCTCGCACGCCATTGGCCCGCCGCCGCGGTCGTCGTGCCCTTCCCGCCTCACGCGCAGCGTCTAGATTTTAGATTTCAAATCTCGACCGTTTATTTCGCGGTGAGCGTCGTTAGCGCGCGGACGTGTCGCGTCACCGGATACGCGCTCCTGTTACTATATTGTTTGAAAAACACGGTAACGTGCCAGTTATTGTTCGGTTCGGTGCAACGTGACGTCGGGAACGATCAGTGCGCGCAGTGCAACGGACTCGCGTCGGCCGGGCCGCTGGCGCCGGTCGAAGGTCAATTTCTTTCGATGAGTGGAGGTTTAGTGCATGTTTTATCATCATGACTAGATCCACACTCATCCATGGAAGTTGCGATATTCTACGGATGGCAGACGACGCGGTGATTATCGACGGGGTATCATTAGCGATGTGCCGCACTAATGATACGTTGAGCGGCAGGTACGCAACGCGGAGGTAATCGGCGTCTACCTGCGCGCCGACCGGAGTCGTTTCGACTCGTTTTTAACTATTCTTCTATTATTTCTCGTTAGAGTGAGCTTTTTTGTGGCACTCACTTATTCAATTATTTTACGGTTTTGAAATTTTAAATTAACACGAGGTCCGTTTTTTTAATTTACCTGGGCACCCTTGCCCCTCTTACGGGAGGGTGGGAATAGAAGCGCGGACGCATCTGCTTCTTAGAAAGGCTATTGTGGCGGGTCCCCGAGTGGTCAGTGCGGTGACGTCATGAGCTGGGGCCGACAACCTGACGCTGTCCCCCCTTCCCCTTCACAAATTACTATACGCAATCGTCCAAATGCAAATCTTCGAGAACACGAAATTATACGTTACGATAGGTTAGGGGAAACACATCTGAATTATGTGATAATTAATGAATCATCGGACTATATTAGTTTATCCTACGGAAATTCCAAAATAGTTTAATATGTATTTCTAAAATTAGCGTAACTTCTATACTAAAACCGCATTCATATTGGTTATTATCTTTTGAATATAAGTATAAAAATCATTGCTTGAGGCTAGAAATGTCTTTTACATTCAGTAATCGTTGTGTAACATTAATTTTCTGTGTGAATAATTATTGCATTGAGAGATACATAAAAAAATATGTTTTTATTACTACGGTGCATTCAAAAATGAGTTCTAACACCGGGGAATATAGATGCTTCTCGAACGACTCAAAAATAGGAACCACTCATCCATCAAATGTCGGAGCATTTCAACATTTGTATAGAACAAATTACATAAAAGGCGAACTATGGCGGGCTAATAGCGTTCCGGGTAGTGACTAGAGCAGGTATGGAACCAGGTAGAATTTTATTTTCGGCGAAAAAAACTTGTGAAGGTCCGATTTGTGTTGGTTCATTTAACGCCGTGAGTTTTCGACGCGGTTATATCGTATTTTACCATTTAGTTTAACTAAATAAAAAAAAACTTTTATTTAAAGATCGAAACATTATTTCTCATGATAGTTTTGGTGGTATGGGACTTGGACCCACTACCAATTCACAGTCTGTCGTAATTTTAATGATACTTTTAACTGTTTAAAAACTTTTTTTTGTTAACCTATTTTAAATTTAGTTATCCTGCAGCCTTAGTCACGGTTGCTGCAGGATGCTTTGCAACATCGGGCCGTACTAAACTTAAACATAAGTTAACTAATATATTTAGCGTTTTAAACAGTTTAAGTGTTTTACAGTTGCAAACTACAGACAATACTAACGTATATTTTTCATTTAAGTTAGATGAAGAATGGGTATTCGTTTAAGTACAAAAGGTTTAAAGATTCTTTTGAAAATGAATGAGATAATCATCTATGGCCTTATTTCCTCTCGACAGGAAACACGTCATCGTGCATGAGGTTTTCCTCAAAACGCTTTGCCACAAGTGTGATTTACTTGAAGATATGAAGGTTATTCATAACTTATATCTGTCACAAATACAATAACCGAGGACAATACTCGAGTCTTTTGTAATGAGAGACCCTGAAATATTCGCCTACCTACAAAGTGTGATGTTATGATAGAGATAAAGTCAACTTATTTTGTCTATTTAAACAACTTGTTTGGTGGAATAGCAACATGTTAAACATGGAAGCACAGACTTTGAAAGTTTTAAAAGCCAAGATAGGTCGACCGCGCATTGTGTTAAGGTCTTATATTTCTTTGGTATTTTACCTTCCATCAAAAGAACCCCGATTGTCGTACCTAATTCTATTGTTTCATATAATTCGGAATTATAGTCTACAGCAAAAATACTTTACATAGTATATTTTTTGCTGTAATTTCAAACAATAAACATAGCTATGACTCACTAACGTCAGGAAATACTCAAAACAAATTACCTTTTCATTTAAATATGTTTATAAAAGGCTTTTTTTATATTATACAAGAAGCCTTTTACTATTAAATAATATATGTTCATTAATTTCTAGGAAAATTGTGAAAATAGGGGTGGCGGGGTACTATTTTAGTACTATGGATAAGAGGACATTTGGATAAGAAACAAATATACTATACAGATAGTATATGAAGTCAGATTTCCTAATCGCGATCTACAAATTTTCTCGCTGTTTTATTTGGATGAATGGGTTTGCGCAATATACCTACTTATATATTGCTCCCCCTTCACCTTATTCTACAATTATTGGGTCAAAATATCGTTGAAGTTAGTACATTTGTCATGATAGAGGAGAACAAAATAGCATAGGGTTTACTGAATAGAAGATATATACGTAGCCATATAACATCTCAAAAAATTGCGCTGTCAATCTATTGTGGCTTTCGACTAGAAATCCACAGACTGAAATTGAATCGCCATCTATGAACGGTTTAAATGGGTATATACAGATTTTCAGACAAAGTAAACTGTTTTAGATAATGTTTGAATTTATAAACATGTTGGACCCGGTGGGGATCGGACCCACGACTCCTTGATTATTAGCCACTGCTACCATAAGCAATTATATTTAATTCATCCAGCACAAAAAGCTCGAAGATCGTAATTCTTACCACGTTACGCACTAGGCGTTTCTCACACCGTGCGAACTTAGGGTCGAGGGAACCGACCTAACATAACTTTCTTTTGTTTGCGGTAATGCTTGCGCTGCGAATGCACCGCTATTCGAGTTCAAAACAAAGAGTCGTGGGTCGCTGTTTACAACGCAATTGTTAACGACTCCTTTGTGTAAACTCGCTAAGGCCGCGGTCTCCTATAAAAAAGATTTTTAATGATAGAGGGCTCACTTTATTTGCCCTGACGGCTTTAGATATTGGGAAATTCACAGACTAAAATTGAAAGGCGACTAACTCGAAGATCTTTCAACTGTGTACGGTCGTTCGTGACTCGGACGGAATTTTGATATTCCTACCACAAATTTAATATTAAGACAAAGTCTAACATGTTTCAGGAAAATTATAAATTGATTAGAAATGTTAGACCCAATGTAGACGTAGCTAAAATAACTTACACGTTGAAATAACGTTTTTGTTTATAAATTTGTCTCCTTGATAGAAATATTTATTGAAATCTACTTTCGATAATGATTCTCCAGTTTTAACAGTTTAAAACGCGATACAATAGTTAACTTATTTTTTTTATTTAACATTCCTACGTTTTGTGTTTTGAATCACACAAAGCCGTTAAATATCATTTATAAAATGTGTATACCCGCATAGAATGAGAATCCTTCATAATTAAATACTGCCTATAGTTTACGCGAGTAGTACACATTTAAATAAAACACTTTAACGGTTTAAAACGCGATATATCAGTTAAACTTATTTCTCTTTAGCTTTTCTTCTTTTTCTTTTATTAACTTTGTCTCGCCGTGACCACGGCTGCTGCAAAGCATCCGAAACGACGGGCCGTAGTTAAAATAATTTTCAAATAAGTTTAACTAATATAAATCGCGTTTAAATAGTTAGTGTTTTATTGAAATGAAATGAATTTGATTATTTAATAAAAAAAAAACAATTTAAATTCGAAAAACAGAATAGATATATCACAGAACAATTATATTGACGTTAATCACAATAAATCTGATGTCAGATGGTTAATAAGCACAATATGTCGATGAGTTTTGAATTGCCCCCACAATCAAACATGCCTCGTCATTCTACTCTGAAGTTGTAGGCGAAAACGAGACAAGAATATTCCACTGCATAAGTCGGCTTGATTGTCACCAATTAATTGTAATAACGACGCTTGATGTACTGCAAGTGTTATTTGTTTGAGAATAATGTTCCTATATTGCGCGTATTTATTATATTATCGCGTGATGGATTAGTTTCCGTGGTTTCACAAAAATGCCACATGTTTTATTAAGTCTGTAGTAAATATTTTAATATAACTCTTAACGATTTAAAACGAGAAATATATTAGTGATCTTATCATTCTTTACAGCAGCCTTAGTCACAGGGTACAACAGCTACGATCAACAAAAATAAAATAACTACAATATTTCGCGTTTTAAACCGATAAAAGTGTTAAAAAAATTGAATAACTACGTGCAATACAATTTGAATTACGAGTGTAATTAATTAAATCTAATTTCTAAGTGTGGTTATTTAATAGGCTATTACTAATAACTGTAATAATTAAAGATTAAACGTATTTCCTTAGTTCCTTAAAGAGAAGTTAATTAGTACTCAGTAATCAAAAATAATTAGCAAATTTCTAATGATGTGTATGTATATTAGAGATGGACCGAGTAACGAGTACAGAGTTTTACTCGGTTGGTTTTTTTTCAAACGAGTAAACAAGTCAAGACGTCGGCTCGCTCTCATCTTCTCGTAATTTTGTCACATTACTACTAATTCATTAGCATAGTTTTGATTTGATTAAACCACCTAAATGTATTGTTTTTTTTAAACACTTTAACGGTTTAAAACGCGAAATAATTTAGTTAAACTTGTTTGAAAATTCCTTTTAACTACGGCCCAACATTTCAGATGCTTTGCAGCAGCCGTGGTCACGGGGAGACTAAACTATATTGTTTTTCTCAAACAAAATACACTTGTTATCAAATAACAAAGTATAACCGAGTTATTCGGCCGAGTAAGTATACCAAAACAACGAGTACTCGGCCCATCTCTAGTTTCTGTTGATATAATGTCATATCTATAGCGTTGTTTAGAATCAACGGATCCCTTTTGTGAGAACAGTTTAAGACTGTATATTTATATTATAAGATCTTAATATGTTTAAAATAATCTATATTTATAATATGTATTAACTGGCAATTCTGATATCACGTGTGCGGTTAAACTAAAATGGCGACCGATATATAACGTAGTTGTAACGTCAGAAAAAAACTTCCATT